TAAGGGGGCACACCCCAGTTTATTTGGGGCCTCTATTCGAAGCTGCACACCCTCAAATCTAGCGACCGTCTCTGGCGTGGAATAATTCGGAAGGTGAATAACTGTATATGGGACGAAAGGATATCTCTTCAGCTACAAGACAAGCTGAGTTTGGTTTCTTCAACTTTTTAATTTTGGTAAAATCAACGGAAAAAACATTATTTTCACTCCAAAATTAATGCCCAAAATTGCGAATTTTCGCGTAGGATAATCGCACAAAAAAAAAATTTCCGGCAGAAATGACTGATGCTGGCAGAAAGACCCAAGCCTTGACTATACCCGAGTAAATTATAAAGAAAATTCTAGTACTGTAATTTTCAAAACAGTCCACGGCGCGAGGGGTTGCAAATCCACCCCTACGAAGCCGCAGAGCGAAAACTAGGTCAAACGGGTGGATTACACTTGGCGCGCAAGGATACCCAGAAGTAAGGTTCGGAGCCAAAAGAAATTTTCACCCCAAAATCACCATTTCTTACACTCTTCAGCCATGTTAATGTTTAATGATACTTCGTGGCAGTTTATAAGAAATGTCACCTCAAACTTGGACCCTCAAAACCCTTTCGTCACTTTTTTACAACGGACTATCGCGGACCCCGGTCGCGCAAGAACTGGGGTGTGCACCGTAAAGGACAACTATATCACATCTAAATAACGTAACGTTACCCAAAACATATTCATCATTCTCCTTCTTCTTTTAGCGATAATGCCCATCTGTGTTCTTTTCGTAGCTAATACGAAACGTGGATTCGACAGGCCACCGTTCGGGTATTATGTAGTAATCATCAACTTGCATGCCCCTTCTCTTTTTCGAAAGGTTTGGTTGAGTGTGACTCTCCCCAAACACGGAACCTTTATTTTATGTCCTATCCGAGGGACGTGCCTAACCGAAGCTAAGTACTAATTTTGTGAAGCACTATAGCGCTATATAGTATTAGAGCATACGTATATGTATTAGAGTAAAATGGACGTACCTGTACGACAGACCACGCCTGCGTCTTGGCCATGATCACAGTCGTTAATCGTCCACCCTGCGTAAGAGCAGCTGAAGAGGCTGGTCTCGTTACCATCACATCGTAGGTCATCCATGTAGATGGGTCCTGTTCCTGTGTTTTAAAAGTGTGCATCAGCAAGTCCCAAAAACGATCTTAGACATATAAAAACAAATCAACATAACCAACAAAATGAAGATCTTACCTTGGCCAAAATATGCATCATTTCGAACCTGGGTAGCGTTAGGATACCCCAGCATTCTACAAACAACGTCTGCATCGTCCATGTTGAAACGGTTGTGGCAAACTGTGCCCCAGTTCATACTGTCCTCTGGTCGGACTTCCACGCGTCCTTCGTTAGGGCCGGAACCACCGATGAGACGGATTCTGCTGGGATCTAAATATATCATCACACACATATGTACATAGTGGAAATTGAAGTGAGAACTTGCAATGTAGTATGTGTTATAAATGGCATAGAAATAAAGCGTAAGGCGTTAAATCTTTGCAGTCGACTATACCAAGGACGTTCTAGTTGGACGCCCTTGACTATACACAATCATTTTGTAGTTTGGCGGGCAATGGACTTGAAATACTTTATTGTTTTATTTCATTTTATTTTAAATGCCTACTTACTTATTTCATCCAATCTAAACATTAATATTATAATGAATACTTAATAAATGTACCGCAGACAACGCTGGCATATCGTCTATATCGACAGTCGTGAATTCCCCATCCTGCGTACGAGCAGTTAAACAGGCTACTCTCGTTCCCATCACATCGTAGGTCAGCCATGTAGGCCAGCCCTTGTACATCTAAAAAACAATTTTGGAAGATTTTAAAAATTTAGTCATCATAGAAACATACAAAAAAGCTTCATTCTTTTCGAATACGAATGCGTACGTGGGATAAAAGAAAAAAACGTACATTTACGAACTAAAAAGCCGTTTGCCCAGTTGTAGCCAAGCATCCTGCAAACAACGTCTGCGTCCCTTATGTCGAAGTGTTTAGCACAGACTCCACCCCATGTCCAACTGTCGGCCGGTCGAACTTCCACACGTCCTTCGTTTGGTCCATCAGGCCCAACCAGACGGATTCTGCTGGAATCTAAAGGTCTTCCATTTTAATAACAATCAGTTTAAAGCAATTTTAGCTAAGAACTAATTGCAAATGACATGATTATTACAGTTAATTTTTAAACACCTAATTTAGTGTTCTCAGAGGCCTGAAGTTTAAAGTTTCCCACAAAATTTAGAAATTAGTCTTTTATTGATCCTAGCCTGGATATATACAGATGTAATTTGGCATGGCAGTACAAGTTTATCCATTCTTGTTGAGAGATCCAATAAGAATGCCCCATCCTTGTGCTCCCCTTAACCCTATCTACACTGGGGGGGGGGGGTGCTAAAAGTGCCCGCACCAACTTTGATGCCTGATAACGTCCGAACGGCTTGTGCTAGGACCACCAAACTTGATGGCTTTTCCTAGAATATTGTTGCCAACAATTTTATAGTAGTGAGATAGATTTATAATTCTTCGTGTTGCCACGACAACGGGTTTCTGACAGGCCCTTTTTTGCAAAAATCAGTAATTTTGACTTAAACAATGAACTTTTCTGGCTTTTGTGTTAATTTACACACGATTTATAATATTCATAACATATTATATAATGTCATTTAATTTGTTTTCAATAAAGATGCATAAATTATTCTAATTTGATGTTTATCATTGCTGTTTATCATGTTACAATTCAACATTGTATCCAACATTGATCAGATTTTTAGCAACCACTGTCGCCTTTATGATAATAATTAATGACCAATCACTTGCATACGTGAAACCCGCGAGGGTAATTACTGTTATAAATGCCCTGTCACGTTTGATCAATTGTTGATGTCACATAGTTATGTCTCATAAGGTCCTGTCTATATAAACGTAACTCCTGCGCATTTTCGTTAGAGTTATTGGTCATCAACACGCATTTCCGTTAGAGGGATTAGTCCGTTAGCGTGATTGTTCATCCTTATGAAGGTGAGGTGGTCGTTGAAGATTCGATCCTTGTGTACCATCTATGTTAAACTAAAGCTTTTCCTCAGTACTGAGTACTGCTCTTTGTTAACAAAGGGAAACGCGTTGCATCAGAAGCTTCTTAAGTTATCGTGCTAAATCACATCTAAATAACCAAAGGCTACCAAAAACATATTTAACATCCTTGTTCTTTTTGCGGTAATGCCCATCTTCCTTCTTTTAGTGGCTAATACGAAACGTGGATTCGCCAGGCCTCCGTTTGGGTATTTGTACACTACAGAAATGCTTTTTCTCCTTTTTCTTCTTTTCTTATGAGAAGAATTTTTTTCTTTGGAGGAGAATGATAAGAAAAAATAAAAAAAAATTAAAATGTCTTTATACCTACCTTCTTGCACCAAGAACAATTTTCAAATTTTTAAGGGGAGATAATTTTTCTAGAATACGCTTCTTTAAATCTTGATTTTTCTCCATTTAAAATATATGTCTAGAGGAGATTCTAACTTACAAGAATAGAATTCTTTTAATCTTTGAATTTCTTTTGTAAGGACAATATTTTAAGGAAGATTCTAAGTTACAAGATTAGAATCTTTTAATCTTAAAATTCCCTCAGACGTAGTCAAAGTTTCTTATTCAATCTCCATGTAGGATTTTTTTCTTGTGTGTGTCAAAATAGTTTGTTTATGTTACCTTGAAAGATTGAGGAAGACCATTCTTCTTTTTTTTAGCAATGTTTAAGAAAATACAAGAATTTGGTTTTTGTCTTTCTTGGCAAACACTGATTGAAAAAGCAAGAAATTTAAGATATCTTAATCTATAATAAGAATAAACCTCTGCTTACTATTTCTTTCTTCAAGTTTCGTATTTTTGTTGAAAAGAAAGCTTAAGAAAGACTATTCTTGTTTTTCTTAGCAACATTTAAGAGAATACAAGAATTAAGTTCGTATCTTTCTTCACAAACACTGATAAGAAAACAAGGCGGATATAAAATCTTTGATAAGGCTGAAGATATGGCCAGTATAATATTCTTACATTCTTGATTTTCTTCCCTAGAAAGTTATTCTCTAAAATCTTTGAAACAAGACCGGAACATTCTAATCCTTCCGGCCGATAAAGGACGTGCCGTAGTAGTGATAAACAGGGAGGATTATTAGCAGAAGTGTAGCGCTACTCGACGACAAAAACACTTATCTCCGACTGGGAAAGAAAGACTTGACCCCTAAGTACAAGAAACAGCTAGTAAGTGTCTTACAACAAATTGAGTGACTTATAGACAACTTTATCCCACAACTGATACTCAACCGAAATTCTACGGACTTGCAAAAATCCATAAGACTGGTGGACCCATCGCTAGTAGCATTGGTTCCATAACTTACCCTAGTGCAAAATTCTTGGCTGATATATTTTCTCTCCTTTGGTCGGCATGCCCCCCCCCCCCCCCATCATATTGTGAACTCATAAAAGACAAACGGGTAGAAGAGGACGGGGAACTTAGATCCTTTGATGTTACAGCCCTGTTTACCTCAGTTCCTATATTGATAAGGATTTGGATGTTCTGTATCGGTATAGCCGGTTTAACCGCCCTTCGGCGTAACACACTGTCAGCTTCGCAGGCACGCGGCGCTGCGGCAGCTAGCTATATCACACCGAACGACTTGTTACACTCAATCTTTGCACATTTGATTACAGGAGTTGTTTAAAGCTTTCTATTGATGATGCCTCAACTGTGCTTGGTGGTAACGGGTTCCAGTCTATGATAGTTCGGGGGAAATACGAGCTTTTGAATACCTCAATTCTTGGTTGATAACTCTGATATTTGAAGGCATGACTATTTCTTGTTCTTTTCTGGGCTAGTATCAGATACTTAGTGGTTGGTACGTCCACCAGTTTATTAGTCATTTTGTACTTCATGCACAGTCTGGACATTCTACGTCTGTCTTCCAGCGACCCCCACTGCAGGTTTCTTTTCCTTTTCATTTCCGTTACACTAGCACCCCTTTGATAGTTGTTCGTGCAGAATCTTGCAGCTTGGTTTTGTACCCTTTCCAGTTTATCTTTGTCTTTCTTTGTACATGGATCCCATACTGTCGTGACATATTATATGTTTTACTCGCAAGCGACGTGTATGCAAGTGCTTTTACCATTGTTGGACATGACCACAGATTTCGCCGAATCACTCCCAATGTTTGTTTGGCCTTCGCAGTGATATTGTTAACATGCGTGCCCCACTTAAGTCTACCTGTCAATGTAGCACCGAGATATGGATTGGTTTTTGTTGTTTCCAAAGCTTGACCACAGAACAGATAGCTAGTTATATGTGGGGTTCGTTTGTTTGATATATGCATAATGTAGCATTTTTCTGGGTTGAACTGTATGAGCCATTTGCTTTGCCATTCTTCCAGCGTGTTCAGATCTTTTTGTAAAAGGTGTGATTCATTCTGTGTAGACAGCTCTACATACAACAGACAGTCATGGGCAAATAATCTCAACTTTGAATCAAGCTGATGTGGTAGGTCTCTTGTCCTGCTGGCATTCCTGGCGCAATATTTGTCAAAAATTTCATGTCTTGATTAGATCATAGACCCCCAATTTTTTTTTGCCCTGCAGTGGCATAGTTACTTCCGCATTCGTTGCGTTTCGCTGCGGTGTGATGCGTTGCACTAGAAATACCCCCAAATCGTACCTATACAGGGTGCTATATAGATGGTACTGTATGTGCCGCGCGACATATGTTGCACACAGCAGGACAAGGGTTACAAGAGAAATAGCAATGGTTCCTTAGACAGCTCCTTGCGGAACTCCTGACGCTACTCTAACTGGGGCCGAAGCCTTCCCTTCCACCACTACCGTTTGCTCCCTGTTGGTTAGAAAAGAAAAGCTTTTAACCAATTTAGTGTTGTTTCTTGGATTCCATAATACTGCAGTTTTGAGATGAGCCTACCATGGGGAACTTTGTCGAATGCTTTTGTGAAGTCAAGTATCGCTAAATCTAATTACTTTTTACTATGCACCAGTTACGTCATGAACTGTTAGTATGACTTGTGTTTCTGTGGATCGCTTAGCTCTAAACCCATGCTTGTAGTCTGTCAATATGTTTTGACGTTCTAAATGCTTCATCACTTGGCCGTGGATGGTGTGATCAAGCACTTTACAGGACAAACAGGTCAGTGAAACAGGTCTGTAGTTTCTGGGGACCGCTCTATCTCCCTTTTTTCTTAGTTCAAGAAATTTTTTCTTGTTTACAGAATGGTTTTCTAGAAAACTTACTGCAAGTATAATATTTTAAGGGTATTTAGTTCAAGATACATAAGAATAGAAATCTTACCACAAGAAAAATTTGCTAAAATGCAGTTTCTTGAAATTCTTGTCACATGGAGAAGAATTTTTTTGCCTGAAAAAAAAAATTGTCAGTGGAAGATAATGTTTCTTCTCTGAACACGGAACATTCATTTTATGTCCTATCCGAGGGACGTACCTAACAGAATCCAAGTAATAATTTTGAGTGAAGTGACGAAAGCCGCGTGAGTGCCTTTTCCGAGGGGACAACGTCAGGGCATGTAGGTAAAATCGAACTTAGGACGCATGGGTTCCGGGCCGTATATTCTACGATTACGCTACGCATAATGCATTGGTTCAGTCAAATGTCATTTTTAAAGGGTTGCTTGTTTACGGAAAATAAATTCCAGATGCGCTAAAGCCATCATCTTGAATGTAACAAAAGTAGTAGCTTCTTTTTTTTGCCTCAGATCATGTTAACCCTACCTATAGACCGGGCTTTTTTGGGCATGGGGGGGACAAGGGGGGGGGGGGGGTCGTCTTTTTGACCCCCCCCTCAGAACTCGCGAACGGTATGTCGTATGACCACCAAATTTTTAGAGGATGGTGTACTAGTAAAAATTTATCATATCTACAATTTTTATATCATTATGACGTAATACGACGTCATTATGATGTCATAAATGTGATTTTATTGGCCAAAACCGTCTAGATAGGTTTTTCCCTGAAAACTAAATGGTATTCAACATAATAGTACCAAAAGTGTTTATGACAGAATATTAGGGTGTGCTAAGTCTTATGTTGCC